ATATATATATATATATATATATATAAATAAAAACCTTTTCTAAATTTTATTTCGTAATTACAATTCATAAATGAAACTGAACTTAATGAATTTATATGAAAATATATATGCTAATTTACTCAAATCCAAAAGAATCGAAAGAATAATAAAATGAACAAAAAATAGATCAAAATAAAAAGGTATCCCTTTTCGGGCACTGCCGTATTTCGTTTGTTATTTATCGAGCATTTAAGGGTGACAACTGCTGCTGGATACTTGTTTGTTGTTTTTTTTTCCTATTTCCATATAGATTTGGTGCACATATAGTCTATCTAGTTTCAGTCGAGTTTGAAATTGTTAGTCGTTGGCCGCGTGTCATTTGTAACCCCCATTCGAGTCGATTCGCAATCAATATTATCGGGTCGAGCCTGTTGTGTAGCTGGAATTCGAAACTTTTTAACCCTTTTTATACCCTGAACCCATTTTCAATGCTCAATCTGGGTATAATGGTTTTGTTTAACTGCATGTAACAGGTAAAAGAAAGCATCGCAGACCCCATTAAGTATATATATTCTTGATCAGGGCGAGGTGAGTCGATATAGCCCTGTCCGTCTGTCTGTCTGTCTCTCCGTCCGTCCGTCCGTATATATGAACGCGTCCATCTCAGAATATATAAGTTCTAGAGACTTAATTTTGTATTTTTTGGTCAGTGTGTATCAGGCGCGTATCAAGTTTTTTTCAAAACATCGAAGACTTCTCCCCTTAGTTTGTTATTGATTGAAAATCTTATTTAAAATCAGTTATAGAATTGTACCCCCTACACCTTTAAAACTTAAGTCGTCGAATTGTAAATGTAGGTTTATATTTATTTCACATGATTTCGATTTCTGTTATAATTCATCACCCACTTCAATATTTACCCCCTGCTCTATATATTTGTAAAAGGCGTGTTTTAAACACTTGGGCATTCCATTCGTATTTATGCGTGCGTGCCTATATGTTCATATGTGTCTGTATGTGTGTGTGATTCTTGTGTAATATGAGTTGCTTTAAGTGTACAGGGGATCTCGTAGTCGAACAGAAAATGAGACACTCCATGTATCTAATAATTATTTTTACTTTTTTCATAGAAAAGAATTGAGCATTATAATAATAATTGATAATCGATTGAATATAATATAAATTCCCATATTTTCTGTAAGTAAATGAAATGATAATAAACTAAGAGAATACTAAACTAATTTTATTTGAGTGCGCGCCGATAACTAATGTATCGATTTATTTTTATACGACTGTTCGTTTTGTATTTATAGCAGCTAGCTTTCACTCGCGAATATATCGATGAAATTTGTAACACCTACTGAAATCAAAATATGACATGTTTCAATTTTTATAAAGTGAAATACATGATTTTATCACCTAAAAAGAATCAAACAACGATAATCATAGTCAAAATTGTTGCATTAAATTTATATGATATATATACAATCAATGGTCAGTGATACAATATTTCATAATTTCGTTGCACGTTAGATGAATAATTAGCTGAGCTTTGTTGCTTTGCAGCACTGGATCTTGACTTAATAGTTTCTAGGCTTGACAGGGCTGCACCAAGTATTGCGCGCAAATTCAAAAATTTGCAGAGTATTTAAATCAATATATATATACATTAAGCGAACACAATTCGCTCAAGAATTCTGTTCGTTAACCGAAGTAATCACAAATTCATGCAAAATAGTGCCAAAAAAAAAAAAAAAAAAGCTGCCAAGGCTAACATTATAATGTGGATTCGGGGCTTCCCATATTTCGTTGTTTAATACAGATAGAAATTTTATTGTATTGAGTTACAAATGTATATTCATTATAGCGTCTTTGAATATCAATTAACTCGCCCACACTTGCAGCAGAAATATCCTATAAAATATTGAAATAGTGGAAAAATTCAACATCATTCCTAGTTAAAAAAAAAAGTTTACTTTTATATTTTATTGGCAAGAGAATTTCTTAATTTCATATGATTATTCATACAATACTCATATATTTTTAGATACATATACATATATATTTTTGTATGCATTCTGTACCTTTATACGCTATACGAAATACAAATAAAATTCGTGTGTATATGAGTTGGCATAAAAGATTTGTTCAGGTCTTGTTCAGAGGCGATGAGAAAACGCTTCAGTCGAAACTTTTCAGTGAACAATCTCGTATGTATGTGAGAAAAGCTCTGCAAAAACGGGAAAGTGAAAACACATTGAGTCAACAACTCTCGTAAATCCGTTTCAAATGGATTTGTATACATTCGCAAAAGAGAATACCATTCTTCTTTTTGGTATAAATAGAAACTAAAATATAAAAAAAAAACCAAAACAAAACAGTTGAATTTACTTTTTCCGAAGGTTGAACGCTTTTCATTATTCGATTTTAGTTTTGAGATTTACAACTTTCTTTTATAATTTCGACTATATTAGTTTTTTTTTTTTTTTTATATGTTTTGGATTGATATCGCCGACGAAATATTTGGTTGAAATTTTTTCTTTTTCCCTGTCGCTCTCTCTAAAATTATATCGACTAAAATATATACATTTAAAAATAGAATATTTCCCATACACGCACTCACACATAGAACGTTTACCTAGATTAGTGATCAAATTAAATAAACAAATATAAAAAATAAATATATGTAAATATATATTGAAATACATAAATATTTAATTATAATTAGTTTAACAAAACTGTTATCTATGATGAATAGAAATATGTGATATAATCTATTAATCTTTTATAATTCATAATTTTGAAAATATAGCTGATCGGCAAGAGCCCCATATTGTGTTATCTTCTATAGTCAAAATTACCTAAATAACCAACAAATAAAGAAAAAAAAAACATCACATGCATTTACAGGAGAGTCATAGGTAAGTATTTTCAAGTCCTATTAATAGTACATCAACATCTACACCAACATCAAATTATCTATGTGAAATTCAAAAAGTAAGAAAGCTCTAGTCGAGTCTACTCGACTAGGAGATACCCTATGCTTTAATCATTCCTAGATTCTTGTGTGCACACGTGCGAAGCACATGTACACATACTTACGCATAGACACACGATTTGCTAACTGCGCAGTTAGCCGCACCTGCGCTTGGTCTGCAGACTTGGACCATATTATAAAGTGTTAAATAAATCCTCTTGTAGATAATCCATCTACTTTCATTACTGCAGAGCGTGATGATAATAAAGTATCTCTATTCGGCAACCCAACTATTATGTTAGGACTTAAATTATGTTTATTTGCTAACAAACAACTCTCTAGTATTTAAATTACGCTTTCGTCGAAAGGGAATAGATTTAACTGAAATTGAAATTCTATAAAATATCAATGAATCTCTCTATATTTAAAATCTCTAGCTCTAAAGATAGCTGTTTTCGATAGGTTTTTTAATCGATAAAAAAAAACCGGAGTGGTAGTAGTATTGATTTTTGTAAAGAACATCGAACAATATTCTCTTATATCTTTTGAGACCGATGCACTCAAACATACAGACTGACGGACAGGTCTGAGCAAGAAAGTATATTCAGCCTTAATTATATTAGAAATTATACCCTGATTTCCCATTTTCGATGGGTTCAGGGAGTTAAAAAAGTATAATAGAAAAAAAAAATTATATTTATCGGTATATATAGTAAGGTATATGATATAGAAAATAGCTACAATAGAAATACATAAAATTTAAAAACGTTAAATATATTTTTTAACTGATAGAAACGAAATTTGTTTTTTTTTAGGGTGAAATTTGCACACAAATATCATTTAAAATATGTATGTACATTACAAATGCTCAAATAAAAAACAAATATATATTTGCATATCCCCATTTCTGTAAATTCCTGTATGTAGATAATTGAGAAAATAAAATCATTTTTACATGAATATGTATTACAAAATATTTTGAGTTTTTACTGCATATTTATTATTAATTAGAGTTGAGGAACATTAATGTCAACTCTGCTGACATAAGGTAAAACATAGGCTCGCTGATATAACGCTCGCTGATATAACACTTGCTGACTATGCAGGTCCAGGCGCATGCGCTGCTTTAAGGGTGCAGCTGGCGACAAATTTGTTGTAGCCATTGGCAACTGTCATTTTGAATAGCTCACACGCAACACACACACACACACACATACACACACACACACACACACACACACACACACACACACACACACACACACACACA